GGTCGTAAAAGAGAAGCTAGTCCATACACATAGACCGGAAAGGCGCCGAGCCTGTAAGATGGCGGCAGGATTGGATGTTTTGAAAACCGCAAGTGAAAAAAACAGAGACAGCCCGCATCGTATGACAACTAAAGGGCAGATCTGTGTTACTTTCAATTTCGAGTAATGCGTTTCAAATTTAAAATCGTCTTCCATAGATAAATTGAAGGACCGTATTTCTTCTCCTCTTAAGAAAGTGTGATAACATCCCACTTAAATAAACAAGATGTTAGGTTATATACTGCATTGTTCTGGTCCAAGATAGTAATCACTGGTTAACTCTTGTGTACACCGCATTTAATATTCGGGTTCTATAAATGGCGGAGAATTTCTTTACTGTTGTGAGGCGGAAAGAATTATAGTAATGGGCCTCACGGGGCCCGGATGTGATGTCGAAGGCCAGAAACGGAAACAGAAACTGGCTGGTCGACTTCAGGACTCTGCTCAGCGGAATTAGTTAACTGGAATTACAGGAAATTGTAGATATGAATTTTGATTTTGATTTAGATATGAATTTTGGTTGTAGTATGATGGAAAACTGAGGATGTGTGAGAAGGTACAAAACGCTCAAAGTACGGTGTAATTCGTAAGTTCATCTGTAAAACCCGACAATAATTATAATCACAGCACCCCTCATAGTCATATACTTGATCTACAGATTGATTCTAAATTATTGGCGGGGTTTCCGGAGGGACGTATACATTACTCTGTATTGTGTGCTAATACATATTTTTTTACCTTTCAGCGTGTTTAGATTTTATGGTGTTGGGAAATATTTCTTGCCTTGTTACAAGTTTGTATAAATTTATGTTGTAAGTCAGGTTCCAATAATTGGATCTTTCAGGCATATTAATTTTCCTCTTTGCTGAAAAATTCATATTGCTTTGATACAACCACATTGCAAGAAATTCCAATTAGTAGAATTGACCTATTTATTTGGGCTTATTGGATCAGTATGGGAGCTGTGAATGAGTCTGGGTTTCCGACTTTTAGTTTACTTTCTTCATTAAAGAATATAATAAAATAAAAGTAGGCTTATGAGATCACTTTCTCTGTATATGTAACCTCCCCCCACCCCAAAAAGAAATTGTATATATGACTCGGTCCCACGTTACTGTACTTCAGACGTCTTGTTCGACCATGTTTCGCTGGCCATGGACGTGTCTATATGTAGAAAACCCCATTATGTCATGCTTCGTATTTCGCACAATCTCAAACTGATCTTAAATCACTTTGCCGGGATATTCTTACGGTTAATCTTCTTGGAATTAACCTATTAACATAAGCAGTGAAATCCTGTCTCAAAGACATTCGTATCTAAAGCCGCGGTTTGCTGCTCATTTGCTTGCAGTGCTAGCCAAGGCGAGGACGGTGACAACTGACAGTGCAGATACAACTTAGTTCAGTTCTACGTACCCTTCTCCTGAACTCCGGAGGGATGCCTCCTGGCAACCGTGCCACCATCTTCATAGCGTCGTGCCATTGTGTGAACCCACTGTCCCCCGGAGAGGGCATTACGCTGAAGCGAATTCGTGTGTCCTGACCTGCAGCAACAAAAAAGCAAATAAGACTTACGTATAGTCGTTTCCTGCGCCCTGTCCCAAAACTTCTCGCCAAGATCAGTCGTAAGGACGTCATTACACAAGAACTGTCCACAGACAGAGGGAGAGAGTTCTGAGGATACTGAAGCCTGGCGCAGCAGTTGAGGTACATATACGTATATTGTACACTTTCTACTAAGTACGTCTGTACCTCCCCCTTTATCTGGTCTAGCAAATTGTGCTCAAATTCTCGCTTCGTGATGTGTTGTAAGAGAAGCGAATGCACGGTTCAGGAAGAAAATGGCTAAAAGTATTTATTGGCACGTGTATTCTATCTGAAAACGATCCCTCCAGAGTAAATTCTTCCCACCACTCAGTTCACGATCCTTTGTATTACTATTTTCTATCAATTTTTTATTTGTAATTCATTTATCGATGTTCTCACTGGCCCAAAATCAGAGACCCTATAGCGCCGAATGATATGGTGGTGAAAAATGAATTGGAAGAAATGTAGAAGGAAGTGAGCGTGACGTATTTCCGGAATCATTCTAGAGGGAATGAGGGAAACACGAGACACCTCTGTCGGGATCGGTGTTTCTGAAGAGACTCAAAGCGGGCACCTTTCGAATACAAGTCAGAAATTTTACTGCTTGAACTAACTTTATTGGTACTACTGTTTTTTACTACTGAATAAAATTCCATATCCTGTAAACCTGACGACTTCAGTGACATAGCTTATATCACTGTAGAATATATTACTAACTTCCTGGAAAAAGTAGGGACACGTATCGCAAAATATCTAAGAAGACATATCAAGAAGTTGTGTAGGTTCACCTAACATATCAGCTTCCGTTTTATTTAAACGAGTAGTTATCTATGTTTCTGAGGACGTATCTGTAAACATAATTAACATGCTTTATCAATTTGATTTTTTTTATAACAATTTAGCGATTAGTGGTCACTAGCAACTTGCATTAGCTCTACAACTTGCGGTTTCTCCATGTGCGGCAGAGCAGAACAATGCGGACTAGTTTCATAATTTTTACGGGACCCTGAGGACACCTTGGAAGGGCGATCGGCCATCTCAAGGTCTCTGCCTACACAGGGCAACATAAACATAGGAAAGATGCAGACATACGTGTACGTCCATGCACTAAGTGGGATTCAGACCCACGATCGCAGAGTTGAACATAGTACATGCCTCACACTGCTGCCCACTGAGCTGCACTTGATGGTTCATTAAACCTAAAGTAATGTGTTTACCACTTGCCGATCTCTGCTCAAGGCACACAGAACACGTTTACCTCTTCCACTACGCCTTGTAATCTAAGCTTTCTTTAGTTTATTTACAATGTATGCCACCTTTCGCCCTCAGAGTTTCAAACTGCTACGTAACTATACAGCAGTTGCAGCCCTACGATAAATATAGGCTAGGCAGGGTCCACATAAGCCGGTGACGGTAGCCGAGCGGTCTAAGGCATGCACTCTCTTCGCTCGCTCGGAAGCCGGGATCGTGGGTTCGAATCCCACTCAGGGCATGGATGTTTAGTTTGTGTGTGTGCGTTTTTCTGAGTTTGTGTACAGGTAGAGGCCTTGCGAAGAGCTGATCACCCGCCCAAGGAGTGCTACCGAATGTGTAAGATCTAGAAAAACCGAAATGAACGGAGAATTTCATGTAGGTAGGCCTAGGCCCACTGGGGCTGTAGTGCCAAGGGGGGAAAAAAGGGTCCACATAATTATTTGTGTAGGTCATAAAAGTATTCGTATGTCGAACACTAATAAGCGTATATTGAACAGATATAACTAGGCAGACACCACAGAAAACATGTGCAACTTTGGTTGTTTTCGGCTATATTATATACAAAATAGTCAATTGCATTTTGAACTCGACAAAAGACCGATGAGCAAGAATGCTATATATATTTAATGTGAGGTTTCTCTTCTTCTTCAAACACGAAATCAGTATTGCCTGAACATCATTATTTTCCTCGGAGGTGACATATTCCGTCGTCCCCTGGTTTTACATTACAGTTACCCGATAAATGCCCCTGTTACATGCATTCCTATCTGCGAACACACATGTTTTAGGGCAAAAAAGAAATCACCTTGGCAGGAAGCTACATTTTATTTATTTTTGGTTTGTTAGCAACGCTTTAAGTTGCTCAGATTATAGCGTCGAATGTTTGGATGATTAATGAATACTTGATTGGAAATAATTTGGAAGAAGCGGTCGCGGCTTACTTTATAATACTATACCGGCAATTGTCTGGAGCGACTGAGGAAAGCCACGACAAACTTCAATGTGGATAGCCGGTCCATGAGCCGAGATTTGAATGAGGAACCTTCCGAATGCGAAGCAGGAGCAGTTCCCAGTCGACCACTATTTGCGATCAGAGAGCTATTAGTTACCGGTACAACTGTAGCTGGACATTGACATACCTGATTAGGATAAACAGAAGCTAAGCTAAGGTAATAGTAAATGTAAAGCTATCCCCGTAACAGGCCGTGGAGGCCCATAGGGTTGTGAGACGTCGAGGCTTCCACATTTCCTCTAGACAATCGGCTCACAGATGGTGGTAAGGTTGTCAGCCTTACGCGCCGGCCGCCCTTTACCCCCCTAGGAAGATTGTGGTACTCATTTCTGTTAGATGTTGAGTCGACCTCATGGCCAGAGTGCCGCTGGAGGGAAGCTAAGCTAAGTTAAATTTGTGCCTACGCTTAATTAAGCATAGGGACGCAACTTTAACCTTGGCACTAGATGGAGCTGAGTATTGAACTTCAATTTCTAGCCGCTACACCCCCCTCCCCCCACCCCCCTCCCACCGGGAAGAAAACCAAGGTACCGATTGTGGGCACCAGGGCGGTCTGGACCGTCTGGACGCTGTGGAGAAAAGAACTACTTTCCTGTTGACGCATCCTCTTATATTATTATGGTGGCTCCGACAGCGTTCTGAAGCTCCAGCGGCCAATTCTATTATTCTTTTCAGTTCAAAAGCATCACCGTCCGGTCCCATTTATGTGGGTCTATTCAAGCAAGTAGAGCTGAGGCGGAATGCTTACTGACCAATGATATTCCAGGTGGCTGGTGGACCTGTCACATGTCTCGAATGCTCCTATAGTGAATGCTCTATCCGAATTGCCCCCTGCTAGGTGCATTATCGGGCATGCAACGTTAGGTTTCATTGTGACATATCTTCTGCATTACGAAGAAGTGATATTTTGAAGAAAGCAGTCTTCTGGGATTTGGCACCGTGTATATGTGGTGTTAACCGACGTTTCGGAGGAACGTATCGCCTCCATCTTCAGGGTAGAAGAAAAAATATAAGAAATCTGCAAGCGAAGAGACCGTGAGAACCGGTAAAAGCAGACTTTCTTCATAGTCACCGCCGTGAAAGCCTCAAATCTTACAAAGTTATATTTTCTTGGTGAAATATGTACCGTTACAAACTCTAAACTGAGTCCTAATCTTTCTGATTATGGTCGGTAATGATAAATGTGATTTGTTATTTTGTACCTTGTTAACAGTCTTGGGTTTTATTAAAAAACAATGATTCTTAAACTTGTTCTCTTTCCGTCACTATTTGTAATGGGGAAACCTTCGAGCTCACATACGTTCACAGGGCTAGTTCCAATTACGAACTGAACATGAAATAATGATTTATACCCTGCTCTCGTTTTTTAGATGTTTACACTAGATGGCAGATTTTAGCCGTTTAAATTAGACTCCATATTATCCTCAGATGGATGGGAAATGAATTTTCCCGGATAATCAGCAAAAGGAAGCTGTAACTAACCTGTGAATTGGGATTTATAAAACGACTTACTTACTCATGGAGCTGAGCCCTTCTGGAGGAGCCTCCAATTCTGCAGCTACTCAAGAATTTCCCAACATTTTATGGAACCCGAAGGTTCATTAACGTGTTCACAAGAGCCCTCCACTGGTCCCTATCCTAAGCCAGATCAATCCAATCCATACCATCCCATCCTGTCTCTCTAAGATCGATTTTAATATTGTCCACTCAACTACGCCTTGGTCTTCCCAGTCGTCTCTTTCCTTCTGGCTTCCCTACCAATATCCTACAGCATTCCTCGTCTCCCCCAATCGTGCCCTGCCAACCTCATCCTCCTTGACTCTATCATTATAATTATACTTGGGGAAGAGTACAAGATATGAAGCTCCGAATTATGTACTTTTCTCTCTTCGATCTAAATATTCTCCTCAACACCCTGTTCTCAAACACCCTCAGTCTAACTTCCTCCCTTAATGTCAGAGACCAAGTTTCACACCCATACAGAACCAGAGGCAAAATTATAGTTTTGTATATTCTAATTTTTATCTTTTTTGGGCAGCAGACGAGAAGACAAAAGGTTCTGGACTGAATGGTAGCAAGCATTACCCGAGTTCAGTCGCCTCAGGTTTCGATCTGTTATCGTTGCTCTCAAATATCTGAACTGTGCCATATTTTCAAAACATCTGTTTCCTATCTTTATGTCATGATTTTGCCGTGCATATTAAATTAAATTTATAAAACGACACATATGTAACATAAGTGAATTTTATTCGAACTTTATTGGTAGAAGTATGAGTGTGGTTTCTGAGAAAATCCTGTGCCGTCTCTACACAACAAAAGCAAACTTCAGTTCCCAAGTGCATATTCAACCGCGAAAAAGAAGGGCTCCCTTCCTTTTGTACTCGTTCCTATTTAAAAATATATTTCACATGAAATTTATCTTTTGACTTTTTACCCACCAGACACTTTTCTACAACCCCCCCCACGGATAACCGGCAATCTACTGCAAGCAGACGGGTCAGTATCGTTTTATTGCGGTTTCTTTCATACTTTTTATTGACAGTTTTTATAATCTAGTCTTTCGGATTATACAAGTAACTGGAGTTTAGAGAACGTAAACTCTGTGTATTTAGTTGCCGGGACAGTTCGACCTGATTACGAATCTTTCTTTTCATCTGATGTTGGAAACAGATCCATTTCCCGCAGAGCCTT